AAAAGGGACATAATTATACAATAAATATCAATAACACTATTTAAAAATTTTTTTAATGTTTTATTTATTTCTGAGAGAGAGAGAAAGACAGCATGAGCAGGGGAGGGTCAGAGAGAGAGGGAGAAACAGAGTCTGAAACAGGCTCCAGGCTCTGAGCTAGCTGTCAGCACAGAGCCTGATGGGGGGCTCGAACCCATGAACCGTGAGATCATGACCTGAGCCAAAGTCGACAGTTAACCAACTGAGCCACCCAGGCACCCTAACATCAATAACACTATTTAAAAAAAAAAAAAAAAAAAGATTGTCTGAATGGGCCCCAAATCCTAGACCTCTAATTTGGACTTTGTATAATGTCAGACCAATCTCTAAAGTGGTAAAAAAAAAAAAAAAAAAAATCCCTTACTGCTTACTATTACTAGTACTCTTTCCCACTGCAAGGCTTTTCAAATAGCATGAAACAAATGGCTGTCACTCACTGGAAAAATATGTGACATTTTCCACATCTATCAATTTGGAAAATATGGTTATTTACTATCCAGAATGTTCTTTAGATTAGAAGACAAATCCTTAAGAGAGAAAAAAGGTAATTACTGCAGCCTTACCAGCATTGTGCAACTCTGTTTGCAAACTTTAACAATATACTGGAGTGGCTGTTTTAGAAGATACAGCCAACGAAATGTGTCCTCTGTTTTTATTAAAAAATTACAGATTCATAGGATTCTGGAACAAAAGGAACCGTAATAATGGACTCTAACTTCCTTGTTTTGCAAAGGAGGGAAATGACCAAACTGGAGAAGTGAAAAGAAATGACCAAAGTTATAATTAGCTGGTGGCAAACATGAAGATTACTTAACATCAGTTCTCTCGACTCCTAACGCAGTATGTTCTTTCTGCCATACCACATTTTATGATTATTCTTATTTTGGATAAAATGACTTGATAAAATGAAGCAGACAAATAAGTACTATCTTACAGACTATAATATTACACATTTATCAAAGCAGCAGTAAGGAATAATGAAAAACAATAGTGAACAGGGATTCAAAGTACCCAAAGTGGAGCTTATAATTTCCTAATTATGTGAATCTTAACATTTCCAGGCATTGATTAAACTGTAAATAGTATCTGTGATGTCAGTTAATGTTTTCAATGTAGATAATGCTAGACTTTTTAATAAACTCAAATAAGTTAGAATTTTTCCTTTAACAGTACTATAATCTTATAACGGAGCTACCAAGAGAAACAACAAAATGGAGAGGCTTTACTGAAAAAAAATCTAAACTTAGATTCAAGGGCTAGCTTATTTACACACGTCTATCACTAATCTCACTGAGTGTGAAGATAACCCGTTATAATACGTAAAATGAAGGACAGCTCCATTCTTGATAGCAAAGACAAAATAAAATATACCGGGAGAAGAAATTTAGGAAAGCTCTTTTCCACTTTTTATGGGCTTTGATGCTATGTTATGCTAAAAACAGAGCAGAATGACAGAGTGAAGTTTAAAAAATGCAGATTGGAATCTTGGCTCCCCCACTTACTAGCTGTGCAACTTGAACACTTCTCAGGCCCTAGCTTTCCTCAACTGTGAAACAGAACCATGAGAATTGGAAGTAACTGAGGTAGGGGTATGTAGCTGGCTCAGTCAGTAGAGCATGGGACTCTTAATCTTAGGGTTGTGCGTTCAAGCCTCATGGTGGGTATGGATCCTACTTAAAATAAAAATTAAGAAATAAAAAAATAGTAAAAGAGTAACTGAAGTATAACATCTATCTCAGTGTCTGGCATGTAGGATTCAATAATTAGTATTATGTTTGAAAGAAAATTTATCAAAATTTCCCACAAAACAATGTGCACTGTAAATTATGTAATAAAAGGTATTTGGATGAAGAATTTCAACTGAGAGACACATTCAGAGCTATGTTAGCTTATAAGGGTTATTTTGTAGAAATTTAATGCCAAAATGATACATCAAAGAACAACAATAATTTTCACATCTCTGTATCTTTTTAACTTTTACCCAGCTGTCATCTACTTGGCTGTTTTACAGCTACATATCTGGCTAACAAGTACTCTTATCCCTTCGTTTTAACTTAAATTTTTTTTCTACAGCTATAGCCCTGAGCGTCAGATTTAAAGTGTGTGGCTTACAGTTACAACACCCAAAAGAATAATACACGGAATATTCCTTATAGAAAGATTTTAATGAATCAACTATAAAAGGATAAACTTAATCTTTCACCCAGAAAACAACGTGGCTAAGAAAAAGAAAACAATCTTTCACTTTCTGTATTAACCATAATTAATCTGAGATTAGTTATTATTTGCTACAAAAATTTCTTCAGAGATTGGCTATCTGCTTAGAATCATAAAATTATCAGTCCTTTAAAAACCATTCTGTAATTTTGAGAATTAAAAAAAATAATTTGAGGGGTGCCTGGGTGCCTCAGTCAGTTAAGCATCAGACTTCTGCTCAGGCCATGATCTAGTTCACAGGTTCAAGCCTCGTGTGGGGTTCTGTGCTGACAGCTCAGAGTCTGGAGCCTGCTCTGGATTCTGTGTCTTCCTCTCTCTCTGCTCCTCCCCCACTTGTGCTCTGTCTCTCTCTCTCTCTCAAAAAATAAAAAAAAAATTTTTTAAACACTAAAAGTAATTTGATGTACATATTTTAGATACGAAGAGATTGTTTTACCTTGTCTATTATCTTTTATCCATTGGAACTAAATATTAAAATGTTTTCAATGACATAGCAATAAGTTTACTACTTCTGAAGAGACCAGTTTGTTTTACTGCTTATAAATTAGGTTAGTAAAGAGGTAGATGGGAGGGGAAAAAAAAGAGGCAAATGACTTTAAGAAATATTCAGATAATGAAATTCATTAACACATATCATTTCCACCCCTTCCTATTTGTATTCTGGCAAGGACCACTTCACATCATAATAAAGGACTAAAATGTTTATTTATAAACCAAAAGCTAATCACAAATACTGTACAAGGAGGGTTTTTTATCCCTTATTATTTTTTAAATTTATGTTTATTTTTGAGAGAGGGAGAGAGAGAGCACACATGCTAGCACATGGGGTGGAGAAGGTACAGAGAGAGAGGGAGACACAGAAACCAAAACAGGCTCCAGGCTCTGAGCTGTCAGCACAGAGCCCCACACAAGGCTGGAATCGGTGAACTGTGAGATCACTACCTCAGCTGAAGTCTGATGCTTAACCAACTGAGCCACCCAGGCACCGCCTCCCCCCGCTTTTTAATCTTATCAGACACCTTTAGAAAGCTTCAGTTGCTTTAGTTTAAGGTAATAGATATACTTAATAAGGCAACACGTTTTTTATTACTATAGTACCACGACTAAAGGTAAACTACAAATTAAAATATAAGATAATTATAAAAATAGGATGTAGCAATGTAATTTTAAAACACACAATACAAAAGAACTCCTTCCAACAATAACTCATGCAATCTAGAAGAAAAGAGCAAAATGATAAAGAGCAGACTTCAATGGCAAAAGGCTATTCTCCTCTCAGATCTTCAGTATTTGGGTTTCTCTTTCAAGATTCCTGTTAACTGCTAAAACTCTATTCAGTAATTTTAAGGATGGCCTTGACTTTTACAGTAGTGCTGAATGGCAAATCACCAAAAATGAAGCTTACTGGGTCTCTCTACATTAAGACGAGCTAAAGTTCTATTAAACACCAAATCATATCTACTATGATATTTCCTTCCTACGATTAAGTATGAACATTCTAAGGAGGCCAATTCCTTGATTTTCTCCACCCCTCACCTGCAACAGTAATAGTCACCTGCTCTGAATTTAAACTTCACCCAAACACCTCCTCCCTACGTCTCTGTGAGTAAATTAAAATATTTTCCCCACAATCACAAAAAGAAACCAAGGAACAGACTAAACTGAAGACCCTCAGGTAACAATTTCACCCTCTGCACCTCGCTGGCAAGTTTCCTGAAACTTTTGTCTCACCGTCTTACAATTTCATCCTTCAAATGGAAATGAAGAAAAACACCAAGTGAGACGGACACTGAGCTCCGAGTGATCCCAGGTCAGGTTGATTCTCTGCCAGAAAGGGCCAGGTAACATTTACTCTTCTTGCTGTTGAGGTTTCTTTCTCTTATCAATAAGCCTCAATAAACCTTGTGGTATACTACCACACTACTGCAATTTGTCTATAGTTAGACTTCACTTCCAAAGAAATCCCTTCCCTAACACGGACTACTCACTAAAGACGCTTTTAGAGGTTTTCCTATTTCCTCATCCCAGTCCTCAATTTCACAGCCATACACCTCTTGCCAGAGGAGGAAAAGTTCTTAAAGAACGGATTTTCTGAAGTCTCTCAGACCTTCATCCCGACCTCAAAGCCTGCACACATCTGAGAGTTCCCAGAAACAATGAGCTACAAAAGTACAGACTAAACGGGAAAGAAGAGGAAGTATCAGAACAATACCCAAACCAAACACAGCACCGAAAACCCGTGTTCGTCTCTATCGTCCCAGTCTACCGCCCCCACTTCCCTAGTGTAACCGGGGTCTCTCAAACTCGGAGAAATGGCCCCCTGGCCCATAATTTCCCTCTCGCTTCACGAAGAAAGTGGCAGAAAGGAAAGAAGCGAGCACGCCCCGGCAGATCGGAGCTGTGATGCTTTTTCTGCCGGGTGGAGGGAGGCAAGCCAAGGGTTGTGTAAAGAATGGAAAGCTGAGTGATACTGGGGGGAGGGGGGAATTAGGGCGCCAGAGCTAATCCCTTGCCGGGGCCCGCTGGTGGAACAGGCTGGAGGCGACCAGCCGGGAGCACTAGAGAAGCTGGGCTGCACTGGGCTTTCGGGTCGAGAAAAAGGGGGAAGAAGTCTGGCAGCCCCAGCGGTCGGTGGGTGACGGCGCCAGGCAAGGGAGGAGGCTCTGAGCGGAGCGAAATTTTCGGGACACAGGAGCGGGAATCGCCTTGCTCACGCCGCCCCAGCCCCCTCCCCAGGCTCACACCTCAAACCTGCTCTTGGTCACTCCGTTTACGTCCCTCCTCATGGGGTCGGCGGGTGCGGCCGGGGCCGGGTGCTGCGGCGTGCGGAGTGCAAAGACTGGGGGCCCCAGGCAGGCCCGGGAGTTCCGGGACCGGGAGGAGGTGGGGGAGCGGCGGGCAGGGGCGGTCAGCGGGGAGCGGAAACCTCTCGGCTCCGGCGGGGCCTCCTCCACCTCCCGCAGAGCCGGTGGCTGCGACGACTGCTCGTCGCTAGCTCTTCTCTCCCCACAGCCTCAACTTCAACCCAAAACAAAAACACTCCCCACCTGCCAGCAACGCCGCTCCTCATTGGGCAGAGCCGCCCGGGCCTCGGAACGGCGTGGGGAGGGGAGGAGGAGGAGCGCGCGGCGGCGGCGGCGGCGGCGGCGCGGGACCACCCCTCCCCCACTCCCGGGCGCAGCCCGCGACAGTCCGCCCGGGAGCAGCTGGAGCGCGACGGCGGCGCAAGCCCGCTCTTGCCTCCAAGGCACGCAAGTCCACCGCGAGAAGGAGAGGCAGGGAAGTGCCTATCTGTCTGTGTATTTGTGTATGGGAGGGGCTGTGGGGAGGGTGCGAGTGCGCGCGTGCTCGCGGACCCGCGAGTGAGGAAAGCAGAACAACTGCAGACAGCACCGGAGCCCGTCTAATCCCCTTCGCGGGCAAACAGCACGCACCAACCCAGCAAGCACTTGAGCTTTCTGTCGAGTCCTCCCAGTATCCTAAGTCTTGTCGCTTCTTCCCCAGTAGCCTGTGCAGCCACACATGTCCTTCCCGGCCACCCAACTCCCTTCCCCTATCACTCACTGTCGCCTTGAACCCAAAGTGCAGCAGGCGGTCCCTGCTCGGAGCCATTTTCCTCCTCTTTCTGGTTGTCTCTAGATTGAGGCAGTGCTGCTTCTGCCGCTGCCGCCGCCGCCGCTGTTGCTGTCGCTGCCGCCGCCTCCCCCGCCCCCGTGGATTGCATTACCGGGTGTTGCAGGGAGGCTTGGGGGGCCGCCGCAGGGCGTGGGTCTCCCTGTGCGTGATCGGGAGGACGCGGGTGGGGAGTGGGTAATCGCGCTACCCTCTGCTCCTGGAATATGCAGCGAGGCCCCACCTCGCCCCTTGGGGTCAGGGGGTGCAGTGCAGGAGCTGGGCGACCCTTCCTTTTAGCTGGGGGAGGGGCGAGCTTTGGTGGTGGGGGGGTGCCTGGCGAGGCTGAAGGGCCTTTGGCTTCCCCCGCCCCTCTGCCACCAGACCGCCGCTGGCACCCAATGGGCTCTAGTGCCTGCCCGTCCTCCAATCAGGGCTCTGTTTGGTGAGAACCTGATCCTGACGCCACTTTGGCGGGAGAAACAAGCGTGTCTTAACGAGTAGGCGGAGGCGCTGGCGGAGTGGAAATTACGACATTCAGCTGACTCCTTGGCTCCTTCTATAAAAGCTAGTTTGTGTCATCATATTATTATACTTTAGCAACACCAGTCCTCAAGGTCTCGAAATTTATGATCGAATTTATGTGAATTAAGAAAAACGTTTACTCTTTTAGAGCGACAGACGGCAGAATCATGTACCGAAGATGAAATATTAGAAACTATCATGAATTCGAGCAGTCCTGGCAACATCATCGCTCCTAATTCCATTACAAAGTTTGTGTTTGTCTTCATACCGTTTTTAAATCGCAGTTTTAGTGACTGGCTTGTTATGTGATTTAAGAGAGGAACTTATTTAAAAACTTATGCTGGAGATCTTTTTATAATGGGGATATTCATGTTTGAAGCTTTATTACCCAACTTTTTTTTTTTAATAAACTTTCTCGTGTTTATCCTAGAAAGGGCTTACTGAGCAAGGAACCTAGCTACGGAACCTCATTCTCAGGCCCACAAACTCAGTGGTCTAGAGGTTATATTCTCTCCTACCTGACACTTTTAATGTTATTACTTCACTTCAGCCATATAAAAACAGCTTTTTAGTTCTGTCTGATCTAAGAGCAGTTTTGACTTTACTATTAATGAATTTGATGACTACGGCCTGCAAAAGAGAGTAAAACTGGCTCAAACAGATAAATGAAGAAAACTTTCACAGGTCTGTTTCCCTTTTTCAATTATCTTTTCCAGTTAACCTATTTGAGTAATAATCAGGGAAGACTTTTACATCTTCCATTTTTTTTCCCTGAGTGGTGTATTTTTAAAAAGCTGAATGAAAATCACTCAAAAGGTTTGAAATTAACTGTACAGGGGTCCTGGGAGGCTCAGCCGGTTGGGCATCAGACTTTGGCTCAGGTCATGATCTCTTGGTTTATGGGTTTGAGCCCAGCACCAGGCTCTCTCCTATCAACAGAGCCCGCTTTGGATCCTGTCCCACGTCCCCGCTCCTCCCCTGCTCTCTAGCAAAATAAACATACATTAAAAAAAAAAAAAATCACCACACAAAGGTATATTACTTTTTATCAAAGAAGTTTATTTTAATGTAATAAACAGGTTTTTTTGTAATGTTTTGGGGGAAAAAATCCCACAGATTTTGTCTACTTTCAAAAAAATGAAAAACCCCAAAGTATTTACAGAACGGCCATACACAGAGAAAATCAAATTTGATTCTTTTTTTTTAGAAAAGACCCTCCCCAGCTGCTCCTGATGTACATTTCTAGAACACAAAATTTATAAAGCCCAGCTTTTACAGCTGACCATGTTTCCCAACCTAGCTTCTGAGATGTTAAGTACTTCCTACCCCTCAAAAAACTAACTCAAGGGTAGAAATAAGGGGGCAGGGAGATTGAAAAGGGGGGGGGAAAAAAAAAAAAGGAAAATGAGATTGCCCAGGGATTGTGAATGAGTTTCCTATACTGGCATCTGCTTCAAGTGACTCGACTGGATACTGTATGACTCACTGGCTCCCTTGAAAGGGTTGCTTCTGAGAATTCATGGTACTGCTGCACTAAGTTTTCAGACCTTAGCCTTAAGGAAAATATTCCCAAGAGTCACCAACCTCAAGGCCAGTTTTGGCAATTATGTCCTGCTTCATTTCTCCCCCCTTCTTTAAAATACGTTTTAAAACACAAGGATTTTGAACCTGAAATCTTCATGTACATCAGAGCAGGTTTTGACCAAAAACCCCTAACATGGAGCCAAAAGACAAAGAGGAATCAAGTCAAACTAAGAATACACAAGACACCAGCAGCAGAAGATAGGTGGAAGTTGACTTCATGTCCTTGCAGTCTTTTGAAACAGGAGAATGAGTACACCTAGACAGGAGGGAGGTGTCCCAGGCTTGGTTTATTCTGCCTCTTCTCCTCCACCCTGTGAAGAAATGCAGTGCTCCCTGGTTCTCAGGCAGGGTGAAGCAGGTTAGCCCCGGCTCCCTGTTAAGCAAGTTCAGATGCTGGGTCAGTGTGTGGGGTGTGCCCATCGACAATTCAGGGGCTTATCCTTCATCCAGATCCTAACTCGGGATTCTTTGATCTGGGATGAAGACAGAAAGAGAGAAAAAGCTTCCCAGTTTACTCATTTTGGTATCTTTTGGCTCTGCTTGGGGAAGCTGAGCCCCTGATAAGTAGTACATTCCCTGTAAGATTTTCCCCACCCAGAACAAACTTAAAAACCATGTAACTTTTTTTTTTTCTCTGCAGAAACCAATGGGATAGGATTCAAAACTAGGTGAGAAACTTGTGAGAAATCCAACCTGGTTATATGTCTGAGAGGCTGCTACTGTATCAGCATCACAAGATAAAGCACTCTGGTATCACCTTGCCCATGTCCTCCTTAGTGTCACCCAAGACATTTGACTCTGATACGGTAACCGATAACTTTTCTTGCTCCACTTTGCAATGTTTCGTTTCCTACTTCTTATTACCTTGGGACACAAAAGTGGCAGAGTTGTTGAGAGCTGATGACCAGAAAAGGGAGAACACTAGAGGAAATCAGAGACAGTCAGGAAAGAACGCCAAAGCTGATTTTCCAACTCTATGCTAACTCCAACCTGCAGAAAGAGCTGAATATAGAAATCTTCTTCAATATCTGATGAAGTCACTCCATTTATCACACACACACACAAATGAATCACCTGGCTTTTTTTTTTTTTAATCCAGAAGAGTTGTGCTGGGGACCGTGCCCCGTCCTGCTGATACAGATCCTGAATGGAATCATCAGGAATGGCACAGTGCAGGTGTCAAAATCAAAGTAAGGCCGCAGAATTTTGAGAGGACCCTCCAAATACTGAGAACTTGTGTTGCACTCAAGTGGTCTCCTGGATTTCTATATTTATGAGAAGGGCTTCTTATTGATGTCCCCCAGAATCCAGACTCAGACCTATTCCTCCAAAAAGGTCCAATTTTGTTGCTACATAGTAGCAAGGGTTTATCTTCATGCCCACCTAGCATTCCAGGCCCCCATTACTTTCAAGTGAGCTTGAAATTGTTTTAAGTGAACTATGGCTGCAAATTTTTTACTGTTTTATCTAAGGGAGCATACAGTGGAGTGATTAAAGTCTGGACTCCTTCTCCTTGTGATAAAGAGAAACAAGGAGCCCAGCTCTCAGGAATGGCATCAGTTCTCCAACAAACAAAATGCTGGGATGTGGACTTTTGGCACATTGTGGAAATAGGAGAACTAATAATTCTGTAATGGTTTTCATGCCACTGGGTCAGGGAGGCTGTACCACATTAAACCTTACTGCATCTGAAAACATGTTTATATCCCAAAAAGCCAGCCCAGCCTTTTTTTTTTTTTTTTTTTTAAAGGAAAACAAGACTATAAATCAATACCTCCACAGGGAGGCAACTCCTAATATTCCTATGATGTCTGAACCCTATGATAAATCTCCTAAAACAAAAATCCATTTTGGTTTTTCTACTTAACTCCAAAGGTGGGCTCTGACTAATCTGCATGGGCTTGATGGTACAGTACCAGCACATGCTACGGGCTCCCTACCACCAAATAAGCCTTGCTCTTCCACCTCCCCTCACTTTGAACCCTGAACCTTATAGAATTAGAAACACTGTATAAAGACAAACAGATAAAGAATTAAAATATTATGAATAAATAGCTAAAATTATCTTCCCTCCCCCAATCACTCCTAAGAAACAGACACCAAACATTACTTAAGTGTCCAAAATGACCAAAGTCCTTCATTTGCCCATGCCTCAAATGGACAACTATCCAAACAAAGTGAACAACCTTCATGCAAATGCATCAAGGAATGTATTGCTTTTTCATTTGCTGCCCAGCCCTTCAAATACATGCACTAAAATGAGTTAAAACATGGCCTAAAAATGGAAAAAGGGAGAAAAAATATATATG